CGTGATGCTTCATCTCACGTTTAATCGCTCGTTATCAGGGGTCCACTCATCTGCACAGAATCCCAGGGACCCTGCGGCCCAGCCAATCGGCGGCCCAGCCAATCGGCGGCCAGCCCCTGCTCCTTAGCCACTACGCCGCCTGCTGGGAAGGTCACCTCTGGCCTTGTAAACCACGGTCGTATCGCCATCTGGAGGGGTGCAGAACATCTGCTAGGGCTAAAATGTGACCGTTCATTGGAGCTAGATAGGAAACGGGAGGAGACCGGGTGGTAAAAGACGTCAGATATGGCATACAGAGCAAACCCAGTTTTCACTTACCCCAAATAAAGGATTAATCCCTTAACACCGACAACGCAGGCTGAATTACGAAGCCCCCCAACGCTCACGACGAGCCGGTCCAGGGCTTCTCGAGCCCCAAGAGAGTGATCGGACGGGCCGAGGTCCAGGATCACGCAGAGCAGACTAATAGACCGCTCTGCTCCGGGGACGGCTATAAATATTCCAGCCACTGGACTGTAGGGGGCAGGATGGCCAACTGTCAGAATGGACCAGAACTGTTTATGCACACATTTGTTCTCTGTGCAATTCCCACTGTGGAATATTATTAATTTCTAAGCCATTCCTGCAGAATTCCACGCCACACTTTAACTGACATTCTTTGCACGGTTACTGTTATTTGTTGTCTATTATTTACTGCCAGTCTATTAATATGTCAATGTTTTACCGTCTAAATGTGCTTCTGTAAAACCTGCAATTTCCTTTGCCATCAAAAAAGCATCGATATACTGATCTATTAGGGATGCAAAGATACACAAAATTCGTGATTTGGTGCAAGTTCGGTACAGCAGGTAAAATGGAAATTGATTAAAAATGGTCCACTATTAAAACTGCAAAAACAGGAACAGTTGTAAACTAAAAGTAACATGTCTGAATAATAAGAGACACTTAATTGCACATTACAAAATTAGAGCCATTTAGCTGGTAATAATAATAATAATAATATTATCTGGTCTGAATTTCCTGGCAGAAGTGCCTTAAACGCCACAGGGAGACCATCTTTCAGAGCTGCATCTGTCTTGCTGCAGTCGTACACACACTCAGATGATGGCCTCTCAAACTGTCAGCAAGCTGGATGCGTTTTCAGCAACATACCCGACCTCAGTATAACAGAGCCAACAGACAGTCTTTCTTTTATCAACTACTATCTCTCCAGTGCCGATATACTTTATGGGGAAACCGAAGTGCTCCCAAACTGCCCATCATGACTGACCGTGACCGGTCACAACCAGCTCGCAGCCAGAATTAGCATGTTTTCCGTGTGGAGCATCTACTTGTGAATTTAGGTTCCGTCCATGTCAATAAATGCATTCATTTGTTTCACTGTGCACACTGAACTGAAAATTTTGTACCGTTCTATTATTTATCTGGAAAGGCAGGGAAAAGCAGTCAGGCCTTCAGAGCGAGTCCGGGGGTGAGCTGAGCTGAGGGTGACTGCTTCACAGAATCCTCGTTAGCTGTGTGAAGCAGGACTTATGCCAGAGGACAGCAAGCTGTCAAGGAAGGGCACTGGGGAACTGGGGGGTGTTCGGGAGGGGGGGGGGGGGAATCTGTCCCATTACCCAACCTACCGTTCACCTTCTTCATCTGGAGGCATGAGATAACAAGCATGATTGAATCTGGGGGGAGGCGGGGGGGTTAAATTTCAGACAGCAGCACCATTTACCAGCTAATGGCGATACTTCAGAAAAAAAATTAACCACTGAAGGTGTCATACATCTTCCCCTGCTGACAGTTAAGCTGGTTACCGGCAGTCTGGGTGGATTAATGGGGAAAATTAAGCTTCCTGATTGTCCTGCACTTTTTTTTCCAGTTACTGGAATGCCAGCAGAGACCTGATAAATCAATATACTTCACTGAGAAAACATTCATTCAAAGCTCTATGTGGTCGCCATTACGGGAATCATGCGCACATCTAAATGGAGTCACTTTGGACTCTCTAAACTCTGCAAAGGCTTATTAACAGCCTCACTGTGGGAAAACTGAAGTAGTGTTTAAACGGCGCGTCACCAGCAATCTGACATCCGGCGTCACCTGTGTGTCACCTTTGCATATTCAAGACGTGTGCAGATCACGTAATAAACCCGTCAAAAATGTAAATAGAACCGGATTGTGTAAGGAGTGACAGGTCCCCTCCAGCAGCAGTCCTTGGGGGGGGGCAATCCTCCCAAACATGAGGGAGGTCTTCAGGGCCTTAGTGCCCTGATTCGTGGATGAAGCACATCGAAACCCACCCTTAAACAATTAACTTCACTATGTCATCGCCCGTTCGTCCTCATGAAAAACATGACGCTGTGAATCACTGAGCCTCTGCATGACTCTGCGTTAAACTGACATCACCTCCATCCTCCACTGATCCAGCTGCTAAAGGTCTCGGAAGCTGGAGAGCAGCGACGGGCTCCTGTGACACCCAGTGCATTATAACTTTTCTTTTTCATCAACACAAACTCACACCGAGAAAGAGGTTACTCAGAAACAGCAAGGCATGCAAAATCAAGACCAGGATGCAATCGACTGCTCACTCGAGGGTAATTAATTATAAACTACACCACGCATTACGCTTTGTCCACCCCCCCCCCCGGACCAGGACACATTAGCTAAATTAACAGTGGCCTAACTAGCAGAGTCTCAGGGGACACCTCAGCTAAACACTAAAGTTTTTAATTAGCAGTGCACAGCACAGCTAGCTGTAGAGGTAACAGAACAGCTATGGGGGCAGATAGCAAGTGTTTCAGGGGAATTCCCAGAGCCCCCGTCATTTCACACTGTCGGCACGGCAACACGCCCCAAAGAAGTTGCCACGGAGACAGACGACTGAAGATACTTTAGTTTATTCTTTTTTACATTCCACCCACACTGCTTATCCAGTACGGGGGGGTTTTTGGTACATTAAAAACGTAAAATAGCATTTAACCAGAAACTACAACATTAATTTGCGGAGGTAATCTCAAGTAAAGGAGATTCTGAGGACTGAAGCCTTCAAACTGTCAAGCAAGATATGGTAACGGGAACAAAAACCCAGGCTGTCCCACCCTGAAACAAAAGGCTCCCCCAAGAGGAGCATCCCTCGTTGGCAGGAGGGCAGCTGGGTTGTGGAACATGGACCATAAGGAGGACAGATGTCACGACAATGGTCACAAAGGCACGTGTCCCCGAGCAGACCGGCGTCTCAGAGCCCTTTTAACATCTGGCCTGACCAGCTGTCCCGAAACTAAGCCACTAATCAACCCCATAACCTCAGCTATAAATGGAAAATTTATGCATCTATCTGTAATTATGAGGTGGGATGGTGGAACATCTCCCACAGGTAGGTGGCCGGCTGCACAGTCACGTTCAGCATCTCCACACGGCGCCATGCGAGAGCGTGCAAAGAAGGTTATGATACAATCATCTGTGGTACAAACTCGCAGGCTACATTTTGGAAAACGTGTGCCTGATGTAGAGCTTAAAAATTTGGAAGGAGGGGTATTTCCACAGGTATAAGGTATGCTGCGGCCAGGGGGGTTAGGGGGCTCATGACCTCCCCCAATAATCAGATCCAGCCAATATAACCCCCCCAATAATCATGTTTCCCCTGTAATGGGTGGAGACCTCGACCCCCCAATGTTCCAGCCAAAGTTACGCCCTTGGCTGCGGCACAAAGAGAATATAGTCTCGTCCAGTGACCTAGTAGGCATTCAAACACCTTTTAAGGGCAAAGTTACTTCTTACTGGCCCCCGAGAAAAACATTTTCAGGCACCAAATCGCAGAAATTTGCATACTGTCACGCGACAGGAGCTGAAGAATGTAACTTTTTCCTTCCCCTTTATTGAATGACTCATAGCGGAAACCGAATTGGTGGTTTGGAACGCCTAGATGCCTCTTAAAAGTCACGGCTATTTCAGTGCAGAGGAGCACGAAAAGCAGGCCGTTAAGTGCTCCCCCCCCCCCCAGCCCGGTCCCATTAACGGACCGGATTAAACCGCAATAACCGAAGCACTGACGGGACTCCGTTTCAAGCCAGCGGGGCAGAGATCGCCTTTCAGCAGCCAGCGACACCCCTTCCGCAAGAATGCAACTTTAATGCCCCGCCAATGCAATCAAGAGCCGGGCGAAAAATTAGGCAATCAGAAAGCCGGGTCAGCGTCAAGCAAGTAGCAGCTCCGACACGGAGGGTCCAAAATAATAATAACAGCAGCCCTAACTTCAGCTGGGGGGAAAAGCATTAGCCGATTTCATCCCTCTTCTATGAAAATGCAAAATAAAAATTAAAGCGCGTTCACGATCACTATCGTTCTAGGACGAAAATCAAGGCCGACCGGGGTTAATCTTCTCTGGCACCCACGTGCACAGTCAATGGTAAACGTTGATCACACCTAAATCGGACTGTATATGCAAAGCAATACAATTTGAATCTAGCGTTGACACCTGCGGAGATGACCTGTGGATGCACACCGGACTGCACACACTTACGATGTGTACAACTCATACACACAGCTCAGGGCTGCTTGGGTGGATGCGCATGTTCCCTCTGTGCAGAGCTGATTTCCTCCCGTAGTCCAAAGACATGCTGTCAGTCAGTGATTGGCATCTCTAAATTGCCTGTAATATATGACTGAGTCCTGGTGAATGTGCCATGTCATGGGGTGGCATCCCATCCAGGGTGCAATCTCAGTTTTGTGCCCCCTCCCCTTCCCGGATAAGAGGGCAGATGGATGAATGGATGGATGGATGGATGACACATTATTTGATTTCCCACGTTAATAACAAGATATATAATACGCACATTTGCGGTTCTCTACAGTGCATGAAGAGATCTGAGCATCTCCCCTAGTTAATCCGTCCCTGACCCTAATGCCAACCTACACGCCTGGGAAACGCGGCGGAAAGCCCAACAGCCGCTGTCAGCGCTTAAGTTAGTGGGGATAAAAGTTGACTCGACCCGTCCCCAGCAGCGTCTTACCTTGCAAGGAAAAGGCAGCGTGGACGCAACTTTCTCCATAGCCAGATTCCGGATGCTGGGCGTGAGAGGGCCGCGGCAGGTCGGGCAGCAGCTCAGCTTCTGGCGGCACTGGTTACACACCAGGTGGCCGGCCTGGCACTGCAGGATGGGCGGCAGCACGTAGTCGAAGCACACGGGGCACTCGAAGAGCGCGGTCAGCTCCGCCGACTGGCCCTGCAGCGCGGCGGGCGGCAGCGCCACGGACGCGGCGGGCGCGGCGGAGCCCGAACCGGCCACAGACCCCGACACTCCGGCGGCGGCAGCCGCAGCTGCTGCCGCTGCCGCCGCGGCGGCTGCGGCGGCGGCCGCGGCTGCTCCCGAAGAGCCGCCGTGTTTGCCTCCGCCAGCCTTCCCGGCGAGTCCTCCGCCCCCGCCGCCCGCTGAGGACGGACGGCTCATGGCGACAGGTTCGTGTACTTGGAGCACCGTCAGATATTTTCAGAGAGCTGGAACCTCGCTTCTCAGTCGGGATGAAGACCGCTTTCCGAGCCCTTTCACCAAAAAAAAATTACCGACTCCCTGGGGACATAACATGGCCGCTGGCGTCTGATAGGGGGTCGAGCGTACAGTGGATACACCTGCCTACGAGTGACAGCGTCTCGGCCAATCAGAAAGAGACTGTGGACGTCAACGTGACACGTTATGTGTGTTTACAAGCAATGGTTTCTGGGACTTGTAGTTAATACGCAAATCGTGCGGGCGCACAGTGGGGGCTTTTAGAGAACCATTGACTCGGGCAGAGTAGAGGGGGAATGTGCGGGTGCTTTTTGCAGTTCGTGTCGGTGACAAAATATGACAGGCACGCGTTTGAAAACAATTGAAACTTAAAATAGTTCTCAAAGAAATGAAGGACACTGACGTACTATTTGAAATGCAATTTTTCACCTTTTTGAAAATATCCAAATACATGATGTCACCCATGGGCATCGATCCTATGGGACGGGGGTGGCGTGTACTCCCACTATTTAATTTGGCTTCCTTCATCCCCCAGTGGATAGGCCTTTGTATACATATATGACAAACGATACACCATAAAGTTATTTAAGTATATTATGCTGTACTTATGATTAAAATATATTTGTACATTATATAAGAATTGTTTTTAACTTGCACTCAACTTCACCATGTGTATGTGGTTTGAACATGGGATTGAACTAATAAAGATGTAATTTGTTAACAATAATTTGAGCAGCTGCCCTTAGTAGCAGTGCCTGGCTTTCCAGTATCATGGCTGGTTATTGTTTTGGTTTGGAGCAAATCTTAATAGCACCAGTGTCAAGAGTGATACCATAGATTTCACAGGGGTGCTTTAGTGCTCAGGCTCACCTGGGCTGAAGCCTGCAGGCTTCTGCTAAAGGGGGACTTGACTCAGCTTTGTTTAACGAAATTTTTAATTCCATTTTGAACCAAGACAGAACATGATTTGTCCTTTATTTTTGCATCCAGGGTGAACAGAATTTAATCTGGACCATGTGACACCACCCCAGCCCCCCTGCAATCGACCACACCATTTCAGAAAATCGTACGACTGGTACTGAGCTGAACCTGGCTTGACCACTCAAACAGCCCAGGTTCCTCTGATCATGCCAATGTGCATCTGGAATTCCATCCATCCATTTATTTTCTATACTCACTTGTCCTATGCAGGATCATTGGGGCCTGGAGTCAATCCTGGATGCTATAGATAGATGCAGGGCAAGGAATTACCCAGAATGGGGGGCCAAATTAGTGTGACAGACCCATTTAACCCTTCATCGACTGTAACGCATTATTGTTGTTCCTTCAAGATTTCTTCTCACTTCCTTCTCATTTATTTCAATCCTTTTAGAAGCAGGTTTTTGTCCCCTCCAGGGTTCTGAAGCTGCAGACTTCCTGTTGAGTCACACGCCCTTCGCTTTCACAGTATTGCTGCTCTGTTGCATCTTTGTATTCATTTTAAAGGCATCAGAATAATGAGAGAAAAAAATACATTTTACAAAACCCTTCAACCCACAAACTTGCAGCCTAGCAAGACATGATAAAGGCAACGATTACTATAGGAAGGAGCAACATAAAAGCAACTTTATTTCTGATGGCACCAAGTCACAAAGTCTTTATGTTACATTATATGTTTCAGTACAAAACTTGTAATGATCACTGCTAATGTGGTTATTTATGTTACAAGGGAAAAAAAAAAAGAGTAAGGGGACAATCTTCAAAACAAACTATATTTACAAAATGCTGTAGTTTAACAGCTGAGAGAACAAACACTTAATTTATGGTGGGGGGGGGGGGTCATAAAGCATCATAGTCATCATCCTCTTCATGCTTCCTCTTCAGGGTGCTGGAGTCACTGGTGGAGTTCTGCGACACCATGTTGGTTGTGATGAGAATATTCTTGGAGCCAATCAGCGATGGGTTGATGAGAACATTCTGGACGGTGGGCGTGGATGGTGTAGCTATGGTGATAATATGTTATTATGTAAGCAATTATATTTCATCAAATGCAAACCCCTCCCCCCATTCCAATATATTAAGACCCAGACAAAATCAGACACTTTTACTACATATGCTTTTAGTATATGAGAAAATTGATAAGCAAGACCTGTAAACTATACAAGTATCAGTTACTGAAATTTAAAAGATCACTGAATCAATTCCCATCAATTTTTAAATTACAGTCTCTATTTACAGCACATATCAGCATGTGCACCGAGGTATAAGATTATGACTTAATATTATTTAACAACCAGCAGACCTACATGAATAAGTTCACATGGGCATCTTTTAATGATTAAACAATTTTAAAGGCCTCTTAAATGCTGGCCAGCTTGACTGGGACCAGTCTCACCATTTTGACCAGTATTTTCATACAGCGAGTTTAGGACAGACGGCCACTTTGGAGTAAAAGCTCACCCTGCAGACCTTTACCTGACTTGGTTGAAGAGGCCTGTGAGGATGGGATCTGCACGGTGAAGCGCTGTCCTGTGAGCGACTGCACCGAAGGGGTGGCTGAGATGAGCAGTGTAACCCCGTGGAAGGAGGGAGCGAGAGAGAGAGAGAATGAAGCAGCGAAGGTTACTCAGTAATATCCAGGAAGGCACAATGACAAACACTCATTCCATAGATGAAAGCTTCCATACTAGAAACTGTATCTCATTCAATGAAGCCATTATTATAGATACCAACATTTCCGTCTTATTCTAATTCAGAGCCATTATGCATTACTATGGCTAGAATATAGATCAGCTTAAATTGACTTTATATTGATCCTATAGGGAAGTTACTGTGCATACAGCGGTGGGCACACAGAGCTCGGCACTTAGTGCATAGACAGTACACAAAGTGCAGACAAAACAAAATAAAAGTCACATAGTGCACACAAATTAAAAATGTACATAGTACACAAGTAAAATACTCTTAAAAAAAAAAAAAAAAAACAGAATATTATGCTTTATAAAATAAAGAAAAAAATTAAACACTACTAAAAAAATTAACAGGCTGCTTTTATATTGTTGATAACAACTCATCTTTTAGAGAATGCAGAGATCTTGGTGACATTTTGTGTCATTAAATAACTCCAGATGTTTTAAAGGGATTGCACAGAGTTCTCTGTGAATTGCTAGTTTTTTTGTTTTTGTTTTTTTTTAAAAAAAAGATATTTAGTTTGAAAGCGAAACTAATAATGCACGTGGTATAAACATATAGCTTCCTCATTAGCTCACCAAGCGTGGGGGTGCTCGGACGGCTGGACACAGCTCCCACGCTGAGTCGTGGCACGGTTATCCGGCCTGCAGATGAGGACGTCTGCATGGAGAGGGAAGTTCAAGTTACTGAATGACACCCTGGCTACCGTGCTGGCAACAAAACCAGCCGCTGTGCTCATCCTCCATGTCGCGAGGGGCACGTCTCAAGAAGCCAGCGAGCTAATAAGCTACTTCTGCACTCCAGATCAAGATATACTATCATTTATAACTTTGCTTTTCAGATAAAAATCACGTTCGTTGTGAGCATTTCAGAGAACTTTTACATTGAAAAATTCCATGCTATTACAATTTACCGGGGGAACACCATTTTCCCCTGAGGTCCGAATTCCATCAGCAGCACAAAGCTAAGGTCCAATGCCCCCCCCCCCACTTCCACAAGAACAAAACCCGAATAAAAACAGGATAAACAAAACACAATTATGGAAACACACAAGGGCAGGGCCCATCAGTTAGATTAAGGGGAATGAATTTCCATGTGGATGGTTATTTCTGTTTAAAGCCTTACATTAGCTGCTAATGATCAGTGCCCACTTGGAGGCTCTGTGAGGAAAGGAGGGGTTAAAACAGTGCATGTCTTACTCTAGAACGCCCCATTACCTTTTTCTGCAGTGACTTCAGTCTGTAATTAGGCGCGGTCAGACAATAGCGGTCAGGGGGGAGGCGTGGCCCCGTGTAGGGCTTGATCAAAGGCAGGGGGGTCTGATTCTTCTGCCTTGCGACCTCCAGCAGGAACTACAAACAAAGGACCAACACGCAACATTACGAGACGGTAGGAAGGAGCTTGAAAAAACAGCAACAATTCTGAATGGTGTTCTGTGAAAGATGCAACCCATGTATTGGCTAAAAAGTGTGCAATAAATCATATTCATTTTGCTATTTGCATCTTCATGATAAGTCACACTATTACCATTTTATACTGTTCTACAAACACCGTACATATATGTTTGGTGTCGTACTTTTTTGCATATTGTCTATTCTGTTATTGTCCAGGTCCGGGCATATTTGCATATGTTATACTGCTGGCAGAGATCTCTATGTGCAGTGACAGTGAAGATACGTAAGACATTACAGTGCATCTGACATTTATAAACATCGGCGTTTTTGCATTTGTCACAGATCACTGTCTGTCATTATCAGAAACATATTGGCTGGACTAATAATAAACTCAACAAATAATCCGGGTGGGGCGTTGCACTGGAATCGGTGCAGACACGGATCCAGGAGAGCCACTGCATTTTCAGAGCCCAGGCACTGAATGAGAATAACTTACATCCCGGGGAGGGGGAGAAGTGAAGGACTGGTCCATTCGACACTGGATGGCCAGCCTGATGTCGTCAGCATCCACGTTGGACTTCTTTGCATGAGTGGCATAGATTTTGGCATCTTCGATGATGGTTGTTACATACCCTAAAGATCAGCAATCAAAAATGATACATGATAGTCCTTTCAAGGACTGCACGTTTGCATATCAACTTCCAATATAAATGCTAAGCCACAGCAGGCTACTCACTGTAAGTGAATTCCAGCATTTGATTGATCACTCGCGGTTCATATTCGGTGATGCCCATGTCCTTTAGGATCTGAATCATGACCTGTTATGCCGCGAAATAAAAGTCACGTGACTTTGATGACATGAACGATGATCATTTCTGTAATGCCACTAAAGCATATTTCATGTCCAGTTTTCGTGAAAATGTGTTTTGCCGATTGCTTGCTGCACCTATTCTTGGCTGGAGGTAATCTGATTAAATACCCCTTATAAACTACGACTGTACTACAACTGCATACACAAATAAGGACGCTGGAGTAAGTAAACAGCTATTTTTTCCAAATCTGGGTACGTATGAGTAAATACTGGGTAAACCTGCTTACGTCAAATTGATCTATGGGTTTCACATGCTGTTAAAACCACTCACTAAGGAAAAATATTCAACTTTCAAGGCAAATTGCTGCAAACAACAGTTTCAAAAAACTACTCGGCGTACCCGCTGTCCGGCTAGCTGCTGGTATACCAAACCAAGAAGCCGTCTTTCCGAAATATTTCACAAATAGCATAACTCCCAAAATATTCACAGCTATTACGCATCAATAAGTACAGTATTCAATGAAGATATTTCCCATAAACAGTGTTTTTTTCACCTACTTGTGCATCTTTAGGCAATGTTTTCGGAGACGCCATCTTCGAAAAGCCGCCTCACTGATTTCCGGCACGACACCACACCCCTTCCGTCTGGCGCCACTGCACGTCATTAAAATATAGTTTCGCATCCACCGCTAGATGGCGACAAAACGATAGCTTCTCAATCCGCTTTTACTCTACGTTAGATTTTTCCATATACTGTACTGTATTTTCTTCTTTCCTTCTTGGCTTCTTCTAAGTCTTTGTTTATTCAGATAATAATGGTATTTTTGTGGTATTGCTGTAGTTCCGCTGTTGAAATGTATGTACTACAAACAAACCTATTACAGAACCCTATAAATTATGTATTCAATGTTTGCTACAATTCTGATTTTAGTGCTAACTCTAAAGCTTGCTTGCAAACATCTAAAAAATATAACCAATAGTAATCGAAATATACCAGTTTAAACACTGAAACTAAAAAGTAAGCAACTGCCCACCTTTAGAGAAAGATTAACTGTGATAGTCATTTAAGAAATTGGTCCAGATTTATAGTCAGAACTTTTTATGATAAGCCTTCACCTAAACAAACTAGAACCAGGTTGATTACATGACCATGATGTTTTTTTTACACATTAAGGGTCAGTTCTTCAGACATGCTTGATGCATTCAGAAGGCTGTTTTCTCTTTGGGAATCAATGAAATACCATATGAAATAGATGTTCTATTTGAAATTAATAACACATGAAAAGAATCCCTAATCCCTAACCCAAACAATGAATTTCTCTCGAAGAATAACATATAATCCCTTAAAACAATGATCCTGGATCTCAGGTGTATGAAGTAATTGTCTGTACTAGTTTCTTACTTTTTTGTTGTAAGATTTTTGTCAGCCTCCGGATTCACACCTTTCCCTGCAAGACTTGCTCCTAGGAACACATGTGGACTGATAGCTGCAGAGACGTCATGCAAAGGACTGCTTTTTCAGCAGCAAAAGAAGCAAAATGCAGCGTACTGAAATGAAAATGTTAATATTACGTCTTGGAACATTTTAAGTACCTACCAGAACAATTGGGAAGCACATAGTTTGTGCTCCTACTTTATTTTCTTTAAACATATTGGTTTAGTTTTATCTTTTTCTTTTAGTAAAATATTGAGCCATACAGATGGATAACTCTGTCAGGTACTGTAGGTGGTTATATCATAATGACTTTATGGCAGACCAATGGTCAGTTTTGCTGGTAGGTCGGTCTGGGTGTGTCTGAATTCAGTTGCGTCTGTTTTGGTCCAAAGTGACGTACAAGAGAGACAGGAGGATTAACCTGTCCCCGGAACAATTAGAATTAAAGGCTTCACTCAACGGCCCAACAGTGAGATCACGCTCCGGCCATGGAATTTGAACTGGCCGCCTTCCGAACATGGTTACGGTGTTCTCGTTTTGAAATTTCGAATTTCGAATTTGGCCTTTACACAATGGTAAAACAACAGCATATACTTGCCGGAGTTGCTAAATTAATTGGAATGCAGCATCCTCTCTTTCTAGTCTAACTGGATTCGTTAAGCTTTGGTCCTTTTGTCCTATGTCTTGAGCGTTTGTAATAGAATAATCATTTATAAATCAATACAGTTTACGGTGTGCAGTTTGTCTAAATAAGACGAAAATGATCTATTTACATACATAATCAGTAGCGACTCAATTTGCCGCTTCAAGCATTTTACAGTGACGAACAGGCACGTCCTCTTGGTTTAACTGATAGTTAGTTAACTTTCCCGCATCATTATTTTACCCTAACTCACGTGCGACTCCCTATGATCAAATTGCAGTATTGCAGTATCGGCTCACAGAGCGGGATTATAAAGACTGGCAGCTGCTCATGCAACGATTCAGCTGCGCAGCGCCTGCGTGTCAGCGTTTCTGCTGCAATGAAAAGGCAATGGCGGGGACGGGCTACTTTAATTATTAACCTGCGTGAAATTAACACTGTAGTGGAAACATATTTCCAAATTAGGCTGAACTAAGTCCATACCTGGGTACCAAGACAGCGAAACGATTGAAGCGCGCCTTCTCGCTCCCGTCTCCGTAAGTAGGCTCCTGAGTTTTTCAAATGCATATTTTCTCGTGTATATGCAACTGGTTTGCTCATGTTATTTTATACCATTATTGGTATTATTTCAACGTTTTACCAGAAGATATTATCTGCCATATAAGAAAGTACACTAAGCTGTGTGGAACTACGTTACTTTATACAAAATTTCTGCTCATTCTGCTTACCCGATTGGACGACTTTCTCTTAAAAACAACAATGCGTCCATCATTAAAGATTTATAGGAAGTTGAGACAAACGATGACAGCGATACCACGCTTTAGGTTTCTTAGTTCAGTTTCTGTGCTAAAATTATAAATAGGAAATGAGAAATGTCATTTACGAGCTGACTTTTATTAAATACATTTCCAGTACTGTGATCATGGTGAATTTGATAAATGTTACCGTGGCGCACTGTCGAACCGTAAGTAACTTCTGTGTGAGTAACGGTGCAGGCGAACTGCAGTAAAGCTAGTGATGCTTAATGCCTATGATCAGCAGCCGTACATCACTGTATTTTGCTGTGTTTTTCCCCCCGCGCCCTCTGCTTTCCCCAGGCGATTCCTGCTCCCCGCTGCACATGATGGCTTTCGCTCGGGGTCTCGTCAGTCTGCGCGGCTCTTTGCTGCTCCGGCGTGACGCTGCTCGCGCCTCAGCTCGTGCACCTTTGCGCCTTCGATGCGTGCAAATCCAGGTGATCAGCACGCGCTGGCAGCACACTGCGCCCGCCTCCGTAAAATGTAACTGGAATCTCCGAGAGGATTTCTTTGGTACGCGATTTCTACGTGAAGTACTCCTTACACGTGGCATGCATTCAGTTTTATTTAAATGTTTTTTTTGAATGTCTTATGACCAACGTATCACAGGTGACGCTGACACATGATTTTGAGATAGTGTAAATAATGTTTTGCAGAACTCAGTTATGGGGACTTGGTAATGCACTTTGACTATGTGTGGCTACGGGACCACTGTCGATCTGCTTCCTGCTACAACTCCAAGACCAACCAGCGAAGCTTGGACACAGCCAATGTGGAGCTCGCCATACGACCCACGAAGACAAGGGTGGACGAAGAGACGCTGTTCCTCACGTGTGAGTTCCGGAAATTCTCTTTCTGTCATCCACAGTGGCAGGATTCAGCACAGCCCTGAATGCCAAGTAACTTATACTATAGAATTACTGTGCCACCGTGAAGTTTTAAGTACGAGAAGATTTGAGACGGATTAATAAAACGCGAATAACCAGTTTTTATGCTCTTATGAACATGAATGGGTGTGTTTGTTAAGGGGATGGACTTTGTGTAGAGCAGTCTACCCTATAGCCGATGACTGACTGCATGAGCATGTTCTGTGCTTGTCAGGGCCCGACGGGCATGTAACGCGGTACAATCTAGCCTGGCTGGCGCAGAACAGCTACGAGGGCCAGAAGCAGAGCTCGGTGCAGCCACGCATCCTGTGGAACTCCGACATCTACACCAAGGCGGCCATTCCAGCTGCTCATTGGGAGAAGTTCATGGTCTGCGACGAGGAGCTCAAGAAGTTCCTCAGCAACTTCTTGCTCTACGGCATTGCCTTCGTGGAGGGCGTCCCAGCGACCTTGGAAGCCACAGAAGAGGTCTCCGACAGAGTCAGTCTCATCAGGTGGGGACACTGCTCTACCTATATACTTCTTCGGGTCTTAGCTATGAGTATTAAACTCATTCTAACCGTGATAAAGTAATCAACCGTGAAGTTTATGGTGTAAAAGATTAGCCGTTAATTCTGACAGCTGTTTACCTCCAGTTGACACTTGAAAGACAGCGATGGACACGGAGAACTCGGTCTTCTTGTAAAGGCAGTTCTCAGCCGCTTCCCTTGTCAGCTATTAACAAGATGACAAAAGGAATATGTTTGTTGAAAAGCCCCCTCCTCTGTGCCAGCTAATCTCTCGACGACGTATAAAATTCGATAGTTTAGCATGCTGCTCAGTAGGGCTGGGCGATTTATAAATGATATTTTGACTTGAAGGTTGGGTTTTGTTTGGGTTTCTTCAGTTATCTGTGCCAAAACAATACTTTTAAAAATGATGCCGACGCAAAAATGGTGCCTGAACCGGTACTTTCGAGGGGAAAAAGCACAAAACAAAGGCTGACAACAGTAAATAATGGCTTTTTTATTTCCAAGGCTTAAAATTGAACAACTGGCCTATATTAAGTTTACTCCTTAAATATATAAATGTAAATTAAAGAACACTTAAATTAACATAATAAATAAAATCTAAGCAAACTACAGTAATTTAACACCTTAACCCTTGTGTACATGGGAGTTTCAGGAAACATTATGACATAATTTGAGTCTTTAGGACGTATTACACACACACACACACACATCAAGCCACAAATAACTGTAACTGTGCAAACCTTTGCTGAATGCATCTTCCCTGAACACTAAGAACAGTTTCTAAATAAACTGAACTTTTCATATGTTTAAAATAATTTTAACATTATAAAAATCTAAAACTTTATATCCATTTTAAATAATTTTCCTAACGTACAAATAATAATATTGTATATTTTGTATATGTTTCATTATAGATCACAGGCGAAACATGCTGTACTGTTTTAGTTTGGTATGTACAGCAAAGCACCCACCTTTCGAAATATTCCTCCGTAATGATGCAGGTATAATAATCCATTATCGTTTATCCAAAAACAAGCTAAATTGGGCATGCTTTGCAAAATCTGCCACTAGCTAATGCTCCATTCACACTTGGCAGTTTAGGGACAAAGCGTGAAAGTGGGTTGGTAAGGGTGAAAGTCAGGTCAATAAGGACAAAGTTCTAATGTTTTACGTGCTTACGAATAGTTTAAGTATAACTTCAGATGAAATAATGGGGGAAACGCAAGTTTTTGTTCACGCGGTTTGCTAACTCAAGACTTAAAAAGCGCAACTTCGCCGTTTTCGGGTCACTAGCCAAAGTAGCCATGCTTTACTTTTTTGACAAATAAATGATCATAAAGCATTATGCTATTTTAAGCTATTTTGCTATAAATTTGGTAGTTAATTGTTGCGGATGAAACATATCTTGTATTGAAATCCTTTTGCGCAAAATACCGCCACATTTTAGATTTAAGCCGTGTTTAAGGTAACCGACTGGCTAACGGAAAGCGTCTGGTTACGTCAGAGAAAGTGTAATATTAGTGATGGCACGTGAGGGGCGGGGACAGTGCAAGCAGCAGAGGGCAAACATTTAAATTGACAGTACAGGCATTCAAGTGACACTAAAATCAGACACTGAAATATGCATTGCAGTATGGTCCAGTATGTACCAGTTGTATTGGAACTGGCACCATACTGACACTGGGTTTTGGTATTCAACCCTAGGTCACGATAAGAAAAGAGCAACTTCAAAAAAAACTATAAGGTATTACTTGATAGCACACATCAGCCTATCATATCCCAGAAACAAACACAATTCAATTCCAACCAATGAAATGGGATTCTTTCATGAATGGACAACTTCTGCCCAACAAGTGCAATGTAAGGTTGACTACAGTAGCGGAGCTGGCCACATGCTACTATTTTGGTGATACCGTGGAGGAGATGAGGTTCCCCTCAGAGGAAACTTGGAAGACGGCAAAGAAAGGACCAGTTCAGCAGCTGCAGCATCTCTTTAGTAAAGAGATATTGTAGATAAAGTAATATAATGTCCGTGATGTGGCGGTACTATGGTAATTTGAAGTAGGCCATGACATATGGGTTTTGGCATCTTCAGTTCGCCTTAGCGTTTTTTGGACTGTACGGGGAAACCAGAAAAGGAAACTCCATGATGACATAAGCAGAACATGGAAAACTCCACACACGTAGAGCCAGGAGACGCGAACGCTGGTCCCAGACGTGTGAGGAAATAGTACCAAACACTGCACCACCGTGCCACCCGAAATAGTAAGGAATTATATTTCATTACAGCAATATTTGTTTAACAAAATTAATTTTTCACCACTGGCTCCTCAGCTTATCCTGACCCACTCAGGACAATGTATTTCATCATCATCCTCATCATCATAATTTTTCTGCTCATCTGCTAAGTCTGTCTCTTCAAAACTCTCTATTACTCCCTCAGTAGGTTCAAACTCACCCTCTTCCTTTTCTTCATCTGACAAACATGCATGTGTCTCTCCAATTATTCTGTGCAAAATGTTCTCTGCATCTCTCTCTGTCCAGCAATAAAGTGGTAATTTAAAAGACATCAGAATGATCCTGGTGTCCATTACAGAGGACATTAATAAATGGGTTAGTAATTCAACAAAAAAATAAACTTGCTTAAACACCTCGCTAAACAATAACTGACAGGTTTATCAACAATGATATATACAAATATTGTAGTGAAAAAGACAACTACATTTTTTTGCTTTCTCTTTCAAAAAAATGTGTTTGTTGACATGACAGCCATTCTGTCAGGAAAAAAGGAGTGAGTGTTTACATCCCTGCCCCCACATATGTGGTGTTATTGGAAAGTCCAGGGTGTCCGTTTTACTGTACAGCAGGAATAACAAGGTTTGCTCAGATCAGTGGAGAGACCAATGCATAAACAACATGTCCACTACAGTGGACATAAATGAATGGGTCGGGTCTCAGGAGGCTATAAGGTGACACGCTGGGGGTATCCATCAGGCAGTGCGACACGCTGGGGGTATCCATCAGGCAGCGCGACACGCTGGGGGTATCCATCGGGCAGCGCGACACGCTGGGGGTATCCTTCGGGCAGCGCGACACGCTGGGGGTATCCATCGGGCAGCGCGACACGCTGGGGGTATCCTTCGGGCAGCGCGACACGCTGGGGGTATCCATCGGGCAGCGCGACACGCTGGGGGTATCCATCGGGCAGTGCGACATGCTGGACTGCTGCCAGTTGTGTACATGATGCAAATAGCTGTAATTGATTAGCGTTTAGTGTGCTGCATTGTGTTGTGCAATAGTGTCATTATAGTGTTTAAATGTTTCGTATTGTAAATAGCGGTGTGTGTGTGTGTGAGCACGCACTGTTTGTGGTGTGAGTCGTCGGGGTGATGGTGTGTGTTTACATAATATGTATGTTTCAATTAGCAGTCCATTCAGTTTGTTGTTTTATGTCAAGTTCTGAGTCTGTTTAGGGGATATTGTGGTATTGAACTATATCAACTGAGATAGATAGACAGATGCATGCATGCATACATACATACATACATAGATACATAAAATATCGCAATAAAATATTTTATCATATTGCCCAGCCCTACTGCTCAGTGACATTGTTCATAGGGTCCATAGACTGTAGTTAATGTAGTGTAATAGTTCACAGGGCAAATTTAAAATTTACTGACGGGCCACTGCCTTTATTTCTCTCCAGTTCTGTATCAGGCTTGACTTTTCACAACACTGGCATGCATTTCCTTGCCAATGAAATTAAAGTTTTCGTACCAAAGGTTACAGCTTTTGGAGGTCTGGTATTATGTGCTTAAAATAAGCACATGTTTCAGTTTCCCGCTGCTGCTTTGCCGAACTGCGCGCCAGCTGAACAGAGTCAACTAGGCAGCTTTACTTAATTATAATTCCGGGCTGTAACTGTGCAGTGTCATTTTTAATACACAAACTGTCCGGCACTGAAAATGAGTTCATACTGTAAAGCTGGTAAGACTGTAACCTGTGATGAATGGTTTGGGATTGGGGACGTCCTGTGACTTTAGAGATCTGCCTTGCCTTTCCAGGGAGACCATGTACGGCCGCATCTGGAACTTCACCTCGGACTTTTCCCGCGGAGACACTGCCTACACCAAGCTGGCGCTGGACCGTCACACAGACACATCGTACTTCCAGGAACCGTGCGGGTGCGTGTGCCCTGGGGGGCCCTGTTCCGGCCTCCTGCGACGCTGCCTGCGTGGGATAAGTGATGCTCGCGTAACAGATTCCTGCCTAGCCTGCCGCAAATGCCCGCAACATTAGCATGGTCCTGCGTTCAGATTCTTCTGCTCTTACACTGCAGGTTTTTCCAACCTTTCCAGCTCCTCTTTTATTTTATTTTACCTATTCAGTATCAGAAATACAATCTTTATTTAGCCAGAGGTGCCAACAGCTAAGGGTTGTGTTAGATAGGTCATTCATAGGTTCTAGATCAAAAAAATCCCCGATGACGTGAACGGGTGGGAATGATCCGCCCTGGGGTGTCGGTTCAGATTCGTTCCTGCTGATCTGAGTGTTGCACCACCTAAATTTCCAACTGTTCTAAGAGCAAAGTTCATCCCAGTGAGGTTTTTTAAATCACTCCTTTGAACAAGTTGTTCCCTAAGTCACACAGCTGCTTTAACGAAAGAACTTTATACACTTTGTTGATATGAAACATTGTTCTGCTCTGGGCATTGTTTATCTGAATTGAATGATAATTTGAAGACACACACGGACCTTGAAAGATTCTACTGGGCTGGTTTCCTCTCTCCATCATTTATGTATATGGCAGACACTTTTATCCAAAGCGACATACAATTGAGACATCAGGGTCAGATTGTTTCTAGAGCAAGTGAGAGTTGTGGGTCTTGATCAAAGACCCAACGGTGAAATCAGTCCGCCGACCCTGAGTCCTTCCTCTTCCTCTGGGAATATCACTCTCTCTGGGATCCCTGGCAACCTTCTGATCACAGACACAGCATCCTAACTTGGAGAGCCATACACCGCACGCACAACAGTATTCCACCCAAAAGTAAACCGTGCTAGTGCGTAGCATTTCGCGCACGCAGCTAACCTATCTCTGTGTTTTTGTACTGCAGTGACACGCTCCATTGCTCTTTGTCACTTACGCATAAACTCTTGTGTTTATGAGGTTACATAAGTCATGGAACAGTGACCTATTGCTTACTCACGTAGAATATAAAGTCAGCCTGAAAGAGTGAAGAACAGGATTCACTGAAGTTGGTGCAGCATGGCCGAAGATTGAAGTGAAACCAAGTTTGTGTTTCCCTTTCTCAATAAACGCCCCCTCGGCTCCATTTCACATTGAAATATCATATTTAGAATCATTTCTATATGGCTAACTCTATTTAAATAGCTGACTCGTTCCATGTCACGTGCATTCTAACATAACTAATTTAACTAACATTTTTGAGAATGCAGACTTTCATTACCATTTATGTTTTGTTAAATGTAGATAGTATAGTAAACATCACTGTGTGCAAAACTGACTACTTTTTTATCTAAAGCAACACATTTTTGAGAAAATGGCGGTCAGACAGTCCCTGGAGCAGTTGGGGGTTATGGACCTGCTCTGGGGCCCAATGGTGGAATCACTCTGCTGACCACAGCATTTGAACTGTAGACCTTGCAGATCACAGGCATGGGATCCTAACTAGATGAGCCACTCATTTTTGTGATCCTAACTAGATCAGCCACCATCATTCAGTGATGACCAAAAGGATGCCTCATGAACCATTTGCTGTATTTTCTGACCCCACTAGATGGCGCTCTTGGCTTGCATTGCAGCATGCTTTGAGCCCTTTTTTAGACAGACAGCACCATCTACTGGGGTGAAAAAAATACAGCAAATGGTTCATGAAGCATTGTTTTGGCCATCACTAACACACTCAAAGTATATCAAGCTATTGCTTATAGCATACCATGTGAAGTGAAATATTAGCTTTAATGTACTGTTGGGTGTAGGTTTACCCCTGATACTTAATAACCTGCAGAATGGTAAATTGCCCATTGTGTGTGTGAGAGTGTGACCTGTAATGCACTAGCATCCTGTTCAGTGCGTGCCGTCCCACATACCCTCTGCTTCCTAGCATTGGATCTAGGTCTGCTGTGACCTTTTACGGGAAAAGTGATTATGGATAAGCATAGCTACTGATCTCAAGTCGTTAACCGTTGTGTCCATGGAAACGGGCTGTGGAACAGTCTTCAAGGTGTTGGGTCCCGTGTAGCTGGTGACCACATCTTTGTCACCCAGCATCCAGGTGTTCCACTGCCTGCGACACGAGGGGACGGGGGGGCGGACGCTCCTGGTGGATGGTTTCCACGCCGCCGACAAGGTGCTCCAGAAATCTCCCAGTTGCTTTGAGCTGCTGGCACGCGTCCCCATCAAGCACGAGTACATCGAGAACGTGGAAGGGCACCGCAACCACATGATAGGGATCGGACCAGTGCTCAACGTGTACCCCTGGAACAACGAGGTCTATATGATCCGGTACGGGACTACAGCCACCTTCATTCCTGCATGGTTCCACAGTGGTTTCTGTGTATGCTCTCCAGGTGAAGTTTACTTCTCTATAAGGGTAGTTTGTGTTAGAATTTGACACCAGGGATTCTCAAACTTTTTGATCAAAGGTCTGTGTCAGATTTTTGTTTAATATTAATAATATATACTTTTCTTATTGATCCCTGTGGGGAAATTGTCTTCACACCTCCCTCGGCTTGTGCTTTGTAGAGTAAGCTGTCCAGGCAGCTAGCTGTTGGGGGGGCCCAGGGAGCTGGGGGTTAAGGGTCTTGCTCAAGAAGCCACAGACATGCTGAGGCTGGGTTTGAACTGGTGACCTTCTGATTACAGGCACACAGGCTTAGCCCACCGAGCCACACGCTGCCCTCGAAGTCAGAGGTCTGGAAAAATTTCAGTGACGAACAGCATTTCGTGAACTCTAGTGAATTAAAAATAACCTTCAATACAGACACCAATATTCGCTGATCATTTCAACTCTCTGTCATGGGGTGGTGGGGATTATGACAAGTTATGGTACAGTGGTTAGCACTGTTGCCTCACACCTCTTGGACCAGGGTTTGCGTCTCTGCTGTGGTTCCATGTGTGTGGCGTTTGCATGTTCTCCACGTGTCATCATGGGGTTTCCTCTGGGTGCTTTGGTTCCCCCCACAGTCCAAAAACATGCCGAGGTTAATTGGAGGTACCAAATTGCCCAGAGGTGTGAATGTGCTCATACACTCACAACCCTGAATAGGACAAGTAGTTACAGAAAATGGATGGATGATCCAGTATGTTGCCTTTAGATGATTGTAATACCTAGAACAGTGTTTTGCCCAATTTGAGTACATTATGTACACTGTGTATTCATGTTGGATTCTCTAAAGATATGACACACAAAATAGCTTTCAGTTTATCCCTAGAAATAAAAACCTACTGAAACTAAACTATATATAGTGAACTGAAAGTAAAATATATAAAAACTAAATAGAAGTACTAAATAAACCTAATAATGGCACTCTGATAACTAACGACCAACAACTGGATCTCAAATGAAAATAATATTTAAAAAAAATTATAAATCAAAGCTTTAATAACAGAACTCAGTCTTAGTTGCTTATCTTCAAGGTTGTAGGAATCAATTTGCCTGCCTCAGGTGATGGAGCGTTCCAGTGTCTCCTGTTCCAAGATGTTTGTGTGGCGCTGTTGCTGGGTTCATGGTTTGCATGCGTTGTGCAGGTACAACAACTATGACCGCGCCGTGATCAACACTGTGCCCCATGACGTGGTCCAGCACTGGTATGTGGCCCATCGGGAGCTCACCAAGGAGCTGCGGACACCGGAAAACGAGCTGTGGGTGAAGCTGAAGCCGGGGAAGGTACACGCCCGGTCCCCACCAGATCTGCTGTAGTTTGCCCAGACTTGTACAGTCTCTCTCTCCATTAAAGGCACAGAATCAGTGTTTATAAGGTCACTTTGAACCGCACCTAAAAATACTTCTTAGAGATGTCATTTGTTAGGACTTTGTTGATTAAATTTTGGTATATCGGGTAAGTCTTATCTCATTATGGCATCCAGATTTAGTATAGTGGCTGTACTTAAAGTATGCCTACCCATAGAAAGGTTTAATTTTACTATTCTCTACATTTTAGAATTATTGTAAAGACATCAAAACTATAAAATAACATATATGGATTTATACACTGACCAAAAAAGTATTGCACAAAAAAATGAATTTGTTGGGAGGGCAGCCTTGTGGGTTCGGACTCATAAGGTTGTTGGTTCAAATCCCTGGGTCAGCAGCGTGACTTTATCATTGGGCCCTTGAGCAAGGCCCTTAACCCCAATTGCTCCAGGGACTGGCTGACCCTGTGATCTCCTCTATGCCAGTTTAATGAGGTGGCCTGCTGGGATGCTTTCTAGCTGTCCTGAAGGAGGCCCCACATATATAATGAGCACTCATTGGCCGCTTTTCCTTTGGCCAAACTCCTCCAAAATCATCTCTACTGTGTTTAGGTCAGGTGACCAGGTCATGTGATGCGACACTGTCGCTCTCCTTTGTAGGCAGCTTGGCGTGTGCAAACTTTGGTACTGTAAGTCTGTGCTTTAGAATAAATCTATTAATCTAGACCAGCTAAAAACATCGATCTAGGATTTTTATTTGTTGATCCAAGTGGATAACAGAAGAACAACGAAATTTAGTAGCAACTGTGGATTTTTCTGCATAGTTAATCCCAGTATCTGTGCTGACTGACGCCATGTTCTGTGAGGCCGTGATGCCCAGCACAGTAGTGATGTCACCACCCATGCTTGAGTGTGCTTCCTGTGCTCACAGGTCCTCTTCATCGATAACTGGCGGGTCCTTCACGGCCGTGAGTCCTTCACGGGCCTGCGCCAGCTGTGCGGCTGCTACCTGACCCGGGACGACGTGCTCAACACGGCCCGCTCCCTGGGGCTGAAGGCCTGACAGGCTAGGCGAAGCCACTCGGTGGCACCGAAGCACTCCCCAGCACAACTGGACGTCTCACTGGGATCCTGGCAGCTATCAGATCCTCCTGAGGAATTCTGGGATACCGGAGTATTGTTTCTAGTATGGCTGTAGTCCATTACATTTTTAAACTGTCTTAATCAAAGAGGTGTAGTAATGGAAGATTGCCTCTGTTTGGCTCTTAATGAGGATCCATGTAGCAATTATACTATCACGAAGGACTTTTTAAAGGACTGTGGGATAGATTTGTTTTTATCTTATTGTGCCTTATCATTTGTAATGTTATAATGAGATGTCGCACTTAGCGTTTCAAAAATTTACTCGAATGAGATTCATCTCCGAGACATGCTGCTTTCTGCTGCCTTGTCATTATAGAAAGCTTTTTGCTTGTTGTCCCTGATGAATTTATGGAGGACAAGAAAGCTTTATTTTACAGTATAATCATCTCAGAAGTCCTATATGTAGTGTTCTTGCTTTGAACATTGAATACAAAACCAAAATGCATTTGAGGTGGTAACACGTTGACTTTATTTCTGTGTACCCAAAACAGAAATTTACTCCAGTGATCATTAGATAAAGGGGATTTTCTATGTCCAAGAAATGCTCTTTTCATTACACGCAGCTATGAGTAAGCCTGCGTATTGTGTTATATAACAGAACCTGAATGTGGTGTTCTTAAAATGTGTTAAATCACTAAGCAGAATTTTCCCCTTTGCCTTAAAATTCAAAATGAAATTGTGGGATCATTTTCTTAGGTTCACAATGTTAATTGTTTACATTTCTTTAATTATATGTGTAATCAGTAAAGCATGATGTTAAGTTTTCATATTACAGCCTTGTGTCATTAATGAACATCCATCCAACTTCTGAAACCACTTGTCCTATTCGGGCTTGTGGGGGTGTCCTAGAGCCTATTGGTGCAGGGCAGAGAAGAACCCAGCATGCACCAGCCCATCATTGGGCACCCTCACACCCAAGGGAAATGTGGTAACTTTAATTAGCCTCAGCATGGTTTTGTACTGGGAGACCAGAGGAAACCCAAGAACAACACGGGGAAAACATGCAAACTTCACACATGGAATCCTGCTGGAGATCTGAACCCAGGTCCTGGTGCTAATCACTGCACCACCATCCCCATTAATGATCTGTTTGTTCTATTTAAACTTTCTCAAGATAACTGTGGTCATTTTACAGAGTCCTTTATTTCATCCCACACCCACTGCCATAAAGCTGTCTGAAAAAGACTGTCATGCCTAATGTATCTATTAGTGAAACGTTATTCTGTTATATTCTCTAACTTCATTTCATGAGGAAGGCTTCATTAACAAAATTTTACAGCTTTAGCAGAGGATGGTTTCGATCCATCGACCTCTGGGTTATGGGCCCAGCACGCTTCCGCTGCGCCACTCTGCTTGCCACGATGACCGATTTCCCCTATACTCAGACAAATAGTGACATAGTTAAACCTAAATTTATGTCTTGGAAAAAAATAAGTTGGGTTTTTTACTAGTTATGCTGATAAGCAAGGCAGTATTGGTTTGTTAATAAATTTTTTCTTCACAGATGTATCTTTAAGTATCACACAAGAAATTTTTTTACGAATAATTCGTTTTTCAGTCACACAATGGTATTTTCACTTATTAGATATCAGAATTCCTAACGATTCACGGGCTATATATAATTACTTCTGTCATTAATCGTTTTAGAGAGATATTGGTTGTTTTAACCCCAAAATACTATACAAATTGTGATATTATACCAGAAATAAAAATATTTTAATAATGCTGTCTGGGGGAGTACGTGACGTAACACAAGAATTTTTTCAGTAAATGTAATCATACGTATCATTTTAACAAAAGCGTGTATTAATGCCCTCTACTGTACACACGTTTTCAGTAATGGTCTCTGTAAATATTTTAATGTTATTATTTTTAATGCCAAAGCACAATATATTGCCAGGCACATATTAGCCATTCCCAATGAGAATGCCAACCCCCCCCCCCAATTAAAAATGTCAAGGTTGATACCTGAATGTTATGCAATTAGTCCACTTTTTCAAATTTGAAAATCCAATTTAGCTTTAGTGTGTTGCGAAAACTGAAAGGAGCAAAATGTTATATGAGAAATACCAAGTCACCTTAAAATTATGCGAATACAAAGGGATTTAGATTATAGCACTAGCCCACCGAGTACCTCGTGGCGACGCAAAACACAGGTATCGCGACATTTTCAGAATTTCAGCTTTAAAAAAAACTGCACATGCGCACATCGGAACACGTGTGCTCTAGGAGGTAGTCGTGTAGTGAAGATGGCGGACGGAGAGAGTAAGTCTGTAATTCTAATGATCTTTTGTGAATCTCTTTAGTCTAGTTCTTCCATAGTAGATAATTGTGTAGTTGATCAATAGACTAAATGCATATGCACCTCCTTTTTCGAAAAATTAATTGGAAATATTTAATCTACTGCATGCGTAGTGAGGCTGTGCTGCGTCTGGAAATGACCGGCGTCCAAAATGTTTGAAAAGTATGTTTAAATGCTTATGATGAGGCTTTTTAGATACATTTTCTCCCTACTCGCAGTTGTGTTCGTGGAAGTCTTAGATGGATTTTGGCATTTCAGTTTACTTGTATCGGAACCGAATCAGTAATTCTCATTGCATGCAGTGAGATATGCGACAGTAGTTATATTTTATCGCTGCCAGAATACTTAAACTGTTGAGAATAACGTTCTTTGTTCAAACGTGTTCTGCATTACACGAATATATTTATCGGGTGAATTAACTGGCTTCAGCAGTGCTAAGTCTTAGTTTCTGCACAGTTAATTTGGGGGGGGGGCGGTTATACATATGGTGGAATTTGACATTTTTAATGAAAGTGCTCTTGGCCTGAAACTTAATTTATGTACAATAGCGGTATGAATTTTCTATGTGCTGCTACATGCTTTTGAAAAGTCACCACGTGCTATTGGCGCCTACAGCGTGCTTACGTCTGTGCACGTGGCCATCGGCCGCGTGCCTCCACCTTTATGTTCGATTTTAATAAAGCATCGCGGCTCGCGGTAGGAATAACGCTGCAGCGTTGGTTCCTTCTAGAAGATATACATTTTGCACAGCTTTAATGCGAGCTAAATGTATGATATTGCTCCTCTAACAAGTTTCTTCGGCCAAGAAGAAGAAGAAGGAAAAGAGAATATCCGAAGAAGAAGTCGGGGTGAGACACATTTTGATATGCCATTAGTGTTTGGAAATCATAAATTTATCAGCGTGTATTCTGTGTAATAGTTTTACTGCTTTTATTGCAGTGAGGATGATCGTTAGCGTGGCGTGATACTAATCAGTATAGAGTGTGCAGCGCTTCCAGCCCTGAGTTTATTGCATGCACAGTTATCGTGTTTTTGGACATATAAATAATTTTATTTACTTTTAACACTGAGGGGCATGTTAGCCTTTTCGTACTGGGTGTAACAGTTTTTCCAAACATCAAAGTGGAAGTTATTAGGTCGTGTTACAAATACTGGTGATACTTTGGAATCTAATGCTTTGACTTTCTAAATGCAGGTTATTCAGGAGACTGGCGATTTTCTCATTAAACCCGAGTCCAGAGTTGCAAGCCTCGATACATCGCAGTGGCCTTTGCTGCTCAAGGTAAACGGAATTTGCGTTTCCCCGAATGCCTCTGTAAGAGTCCTCTGGCCTTTAGGGGGCACTGTATGTAGGTGATGAACGAGTTTATCCATTCGCCGAGCACCGCTGTCCCTTCCCTCTGTGGCGCTAGTATCTGTTCCAGGCACTAGCTGCCTTGGTTCTGTGCTTTCGCCCCAGTGTTCTACTGGTGCGGATGTCACGGTCCAAGATAAACCAGAGTGGAACTGGGACTTGGCAACAGCCAGGACGATTGTAAACTTCTGATCGCATACAGTCTATGTGTGTGGACTTTAAGGAGTGCTTAAGGATTTTATGGGCCGGTACATGAACCTCTTAACGCTACTGTTTGTCTATCGCTGCAGAACTTCGATAAACTCAATATAAGGACAGCTCACTACACGCCTTTGCCAAATGGCTCGAACCCTTTGAAGAGGAACATCCAGGACTATGTCAGGTGGGTGTCTGTTACCGTCAGAGGGCAGTTCTGTTTGTCCTTGTCAGCCTGGACTATTCCGTTCGCTTTCATTGCAGTTTTGAAAAAGCCACATGATGATGGTGTAGATTACAGTAGCACCCTGTGCAAAGATGACCACCCATCTATCACCCTAGGCTGATGGCTCCCCCCCCCCCCCCCCCCCCGCAGATCGGGTTTCATCAACCTGGACAAACCGGCCAACCCGTCGTCACACGAGGTGGTTGCCTGGATACGGCGCATCCTGCGCGTGGAGAAGACGGGCCACAGCGGCACCCTGGACCCCAAGGTGACGGGATGCCTCATCGTGTGCGTGGACAGGGCCACCCGGCTGGTCAAGTCCCAGCAGAGCGCAGGTATGCCCCCCTCCCCACACACATACACATGTTCACCCAGTCCGACGCGTCCTGAACGCGCACAGTAAGAGCGGCCCCTCCTCACTACTCTTCGACTGTCCCTTTCAGGCAAAGAGTATGTGGGAATCGTTCGGCTGCACAATGCTCTAGAGAGCGAGCACCAACTCGCGCGGGTAAGTCGCCCCTGCTAGTATCCATACAGTGAGCATATCCTGCCAGACATAGAAACTCCGCACTAGAGCGACGTCCTCGTGTATTTGGCATGTGAAATGATGAGCATGTTTATCCATTCTCGGAGTCCTGCCAGCCCTCCCCTTCTGCGTGACCCCAAGGGTGACGGCTTCCTTTACCCCCACGCTGCCACTCTAGCGTTCTGCTGGTCTGGCTGGTACGGGGTGGGAAGGGTGGAACCGGAGGGCCTGGTGGTGGCAGGGATGAGCACCAACTCCTGATCACATGCCATAGGGGGCTTTAAACTCGAGTGCTGGCCTTGTTTAGCCCAGGCGCATGCAGCCAGTGCTACGCAGCCAGTGCTACGCAGCCAGTGCTACGCAGCCAGTGCTACGCAGCCAGTGCTACGCAGCCAGTGCTACGCAGCCAGTGCTACGCAGCCAGTGCTTGTAAATGCATCAGCACCATTGCGCACTCGTTTCAGGAATTTAGCTTTTCTTTCTTGCAGGCGCTTGAAACCCTGACGGGGGCACTGTTCCAGCGGCCCCCCCTCATTGCTGCGGTTAAGCGGCAGCTCAGGGTACGGACCATCTACGAAAGCAAGCTCATAGAGTACGACCCCGAGAGGAGACTAGGTGAGAGACTGTCACCTGTTCCACTAGCACTCATCACAGCTAGCCTCTCATGCCCAGGCCCTGCTTAAGTGGTAGCTCCTCCAGAATGCTACCCAGCTAAATGCTTTGCCTACAGTATCTTTCATATGGTTATTTCTGGGGAACAGCCATTATTGCAAACTGTGATTTACCCAAAGTCCATTAAGTATAGTCATTTCCTAAAGTCATTAAATGCACACCCAATCCGCATCCATCTGGTAGAGGTGGCTGGGGGGAGGGAGATCTGGGTGTCTCTCTTGAAGATGCTACCCCCGTGACCCGAACCCCGGACAAGCGGATGGTAATAGATGGATGAATTAAATGCACAGAGAGTAGAATAGAATAGCAATGCTTTATTCCTCCATCTGATGTCACACTCCATCGAGGCACACATACGGGTGACAGAAAGCTTTGGGTCACGGTGCAGGGTCGACCAGTGTCCAGCACCTCTAGAGTGACTGGGGCTTAAGGGTATGGCTCTGGGGCCCATCGGTGACTCCGGGATTTGAACCAGCAATCTTCTGTTCATGGGCACAGACTGCCCCCAAACATCACCTTTAATCAAACCTCATTTGTTTAATCTAATCCTTGTAATGTCGTCCCATCTTTCCAGCATCTGTCACAGAGCGGCGTAGACACACTGCTCTGACCCTCTGCTCTGAGCCGCATTGAACCTTCTGTTGGCGTGAGCAGTAATGTGATGCGTGTCTGATCCCCTCCGCCCCTAGGCATATTCTGGGTGAGCTGCGAGGCGGGCACCTACATCCGCACGCTGTGCGTCCACCTGGGGCTGCTGCTTGGCGTCGGGGGACAGATGCAGGAGCTGAGGAGGGTGCGCTCCGGAGTGCTGGGGGAGAAGGTGAGTGGCGCCGCCCCACTGGAGACGTTTGCATACTGCGGCCAAAGTGTTGAGTTCAGCTCTGGGCATCTTCCCCAGTCCTGGTAATTAAACTTTGGTAAATGAAAGCAGCCAGGTGTTGAGTGTCATGCGGATCGGTCTTGGTCGCCTGTCCGGTCAACTCTGGCTGACAGATTTAGGGTCTGCCGCTGTCATTGGTCTTTGAGGAGCTTGTCCCCCTCAGGCACCATTGTGACCCTATAGTGTAACACGAATCATTCCCCGTCCCCGATGCAGGACATCCTGGTCACCATGCATGACGTGCTGGACGCTCAGTGGCAGTACGATCACAACAAGGACGAGACGTACCTGAGGAGGGTCATCCTCCCACTGGAGAAACTACTCACCTCCCACAAGCGACTGGTCATGAAGGACAGCGCTGTGAGTGGCCCGGCTGCCTTCTGTACCCAAGCTCTGATTGGTGGTGTACTGGTGGGCGTGGCTATACCACACCTCCTATAGTGTGTCTCCTATGGTTTCTCTGATTGGTGGTGTACTGGTGGGCGGGGCTATACCACACCTCCTATAGTGTCTCCTATGGTTTCTCATCCATGTCGGAAATCAAGGGCGATGAGTCACACTTGCGCCAGCGAGCAGGATTTACACAAGCTTAAACGTTATAACTTGCATGTTTTCACTTTTTTTTTTTTATATCATCGTCTAGTTTTGACATGGATGTGATGCCATACTGTCCTATCTAGTACCTTTGTTGGCATACTGACCTGCTCATTTTGGCCGATAGAGAATATATTTTTGCCTGATATTGCCAATACCCAGCTAACCTCTGAGCTCCACAAATTTATAGTGAAACTGGTGACGGCACTTAAGATCCTGTGAATGTGTGCAGCACGTGAATTAATGTAGGCAGTGACTTGCATGGAGATTCTAAATGCTGGATGAGCCAACAAAATCTAATGGCTGCTGATCCAGGGCACTCATCTCCATCATTTTACTAGTTTTACTGGTGCTGCTTCCTTTGGATATTGATTGAAGTCTAAGTATTGGCTGGCAAAATCAATACGTTGGGCTGGTGCTGATGTCGCCTTGATTTTTACCGGATGTCGGCTGATACAGCTCATTTATGGGATATTCAGAGTGTTTGTGTCGCATGCGACCTGCGTCACAGGTGAACGCCATCTGCTATGGCGCTAAAATCATGCTGCCGGGGGTCCTGCGGTACGAGGACGGCATCGAGGTGAACCAGGAGATCGTCGTGGTCACGACCAAAGGGGAAGCCATTTGCCTGGGTGAGTGGCGGGGCCGTGTCGGGGGGCGGGGCCGTGTCGGGGGGGCGGGGCCAGGCAGCCACATGATGACATGATAGCATAGCATTAGCACTCTGTGCAAAGATGACTGCCTATCTATCACCCTTGTCTGATGGCTGTAGCCCCCGAGACGCCGCTCTCTCCTGGGCTTCTGAACGGATTGGCTTTGTACCCCCATGGTTGCTTGGTGACTGGCAGAAGTTGACGTGACTTTAACCCCTTGTTTTTTTTTCCCACCTCCCCCAACTGCAGCAATCGCCCTGATGACGACCGCAGTGATCTCCACATGTGACCATGGCGTGGTGGCCAAAATCAAGAGGGTCATCATGGAGAGAGACACCTACCCCCGCAAATGGGGCCTGGGGCCCAAGGTGGGCTTTGCTGACATCCTCCTTGTCCCTCCCTCCCCCCGGCACTTGTGTCATCCATCTTCGACTGCCGATTTGTGTGTGAGCTCTTCCCTCCCCCTCCCCTGCCCCCCTCAGGCCACCCAGAAGAAGATGATGATCCAGAAGGGTCTCCTGGACAAACACGGGAAGCCGAACGACAGCACGCCCTCGGAATGGAAGCACGGCTACGTGGACTACAGGTACGGCCCCGCCTTCAGCGTCGCCCCTCTGCTTTCGTCCCCGTCCTAAATGCCCCCGTTTATCACATTGATGGGCCGCCTGACCGGCTTTTCTGCACGCTTGCAGCATGCTGAAGTCAGTGGCGGTCGACTCGACCGGACCGGTGGGACCGGCGGCCAAGGTAAGGATGGCGGTGACCTGGACCGGGACACCTAGGGCAGAGGTTTCAGAGCTCAGAAGGATTAGGGGCTGAAATACTGGCATGAAAGATTTTTGGGGGGTTGGGGGGGTGCAGCAGGCAGTTATCCCTTCACCTGCCTGCTCGTGGCTTTGGAGGGAGTCAGCCTGCCAGATCATTGTGGACCCCCTGGTGCGTTTTGGCTTGTCTCCTGTGACACTCCATCCACCAGTATCCACCACACCAGCTCTCTGTTCCGCAGGTTCTCCTGCACTCCACTGCACTGCAGTGTTTTTCTTTTCAGCTCTTATCGGTTGACTGTGTCGACGGTATCTAGCTGCTTGTGGTTATGTGGTTACGTCACGCCGCCTCGGAGCTGCGGCCCGCGGGCATCGCTGTGACAGATTCTGAAACTGGTGCCTCTCGCCCGCCTGCAGCGGAAGCGCGAGGCCAGCGGCAGCGACGGCGGATGTCCGGAGGGCGCCTCGCCCCCCAAGGCCGACGGTGAGGCCAAGAAGGAGAAGAAGAAGAAAAAGAAGGACAAGAAGCTGAAGCTGTCGGAGGCAGCGGACGACGAGCCAGAGCCTGAGCCGGCTCCTGAGGTAGGCGGGGCTTAGAACCTCATCCAATCAGACACTCCCTGGGGTGTTTACTTCAGCAGTCGGTTATCCCACCAGTGCCTTTTCTCGTGGCTCTGGTGGGAGTTAGGCTGCAACATTAACGTGGGCGCCAGCACTTGGGTGTGTGACTCCAGCTCACGCCTGACACTGGTGCCCCCTACAGGCGCTTCCTGGTTGGCACAAGGTGACCTCTAGGGGGCAGTATTGTTCCAGCTAACTTTTTTTTTGTTTTGTTTTGTTTTTGGGATTCGTAGGCTGAAGAGAGTGCGAAGAAGAAAAAGAAGAAGAAGAAACAGAAGGATGAGGCGGCGGAGTCTGAGTGATGACACGGCTTCTGTCTGTGTGAGAGACTGCCAGTGTGTGTGGCGTGTAGAATGTGGGCGGCCCGTAGCAACAGCGACCCCTAGTGGGGATCCTGCTCTGCATACAGCTCATCAGCCCAACATGGAGGAAATCTATCCCCCCCGCAATCCCCAATCCTTCCTGATGGCCGGAATGCATGTCAGTGTTGTTCGATTCAGGGCTGTGTAAAGTTTTAACCTTTTTAAGAGATGGATTATTAAATCTGTCATCTGGCCAGTGGGAGGAGTGGGTTTTTTTTGTACTGTAAATATGGCTTGCTGATATTAATCCAGTGTGAAGGCGAAATTGAGTTGGAATCCTGATCACTTCATTGAGTGACTGACTTTTTTCTTTATAAAATGTTTGTGGTCTTGTTTGGGTCCTCAGGTTGTCTTCAAATTCAAACTGAACTGTACCATTCCTGTACCATATTAAATCTGTATTTACTTAAATCTGTTTGATTGGTCTATAAGCCAGGTTCACAAATCCATTATATATTGTATTGTTACCAGGTAATACAAGTATATATCGCTGCAGCAGGGGGCAGAGTGGGAGGGGCAGTGTCAGGGGTTTATCATGAGGGGGTATCTGATTGGTTACAGACCACCCCACTCGACATTTGGCTCCTGGCTGCAGCGATATGCCACTCTAGTGTGTGGGTCCGATCTCATGATCAGAAGGACGCTGGTTCGCATACCATGGCCGGCAGAGTGATTTCACCACTGAGCCCCTGGTCAAGGTCCTTAACCCCCAATTGCTTGAGGGATCGTCTGACCCTGATCGATTTTTCGATTAGGAAAGAGTCTGCTAAATACTGTAAATGTTCCTGAGAAGCTGGAGAAACGTCCAGCGCTCTGACAATCCCCCATGTGCTGCAGGAAATCTAACCGCCAACTTACATTTCTTGTCGTGGTTTGTCATCACACCAAAGCTGCATGTTTGCTCAGATGAAAGGTTTATTTTTCACAGATCTATTCCCCCCCTTTTTAGTGTTATGTCGTCGAAGTTTTTTTTATGATTTTGTCAATCTCTATTTTGTGATCCTCAAATCACATGTACCTGGGTCATCTTGCTTTCTGTATTGTTACATCAGGAATTGGACTGTTTGACTAAAATGTTTGGAAGCTTAATATTGCAGTCATAAAGGGGAAATCTGGGGGAGGGGGGTTAGATATTTCCCTCTGCACCTGCTCCTCCTGTGTAATATAATACATAAGTATATAAGAAACTGCCTTCTGCACAGAGGGCTGAATAGTTTCACACCTGTTTCGAGTTGTGTCACGAAGGCAACACATGCAATGTTTCCGCATTTGTTCCATGAAGTTCATGCCTTCATTTCCCATGAGTAGCCCAAATGTGACATGCATGCTGGGAAATGTATGAAATTGCATATTGATGGTATTCCCCATGCCAAGGGCATTCGGCAAGTTACTCTGCGTTTGATTTCTGCTGCAGAAAACATGCAAAACAAGTAGCGATTCCAAGATAGATTTTTGTCCTTTAATACATTAAAGAAGCGGACAAAATCTCTGGCCAGGATTCCATTCCAATCATATTGTTTAACAAGGGCTAAACTTTGACTTAAAGTGGTAGGCTCCAAAGTTACATGGGCGTTTCGACTCAGGACGGGAAGTCTTTAACGAATTCAAAGTGCCTTGCATTTTCGCTTGAGGTATATATTCTACGTATGTTTCATGAGTTGAGATGCATTTACGGTAAACGCAACAAGCCGAACTGAAGGATGAGATGTTGGGTACACATACATATTCTCGCATAGCCCCGTAATGTTCCCGTCTACAAAGACAAAAGAGTAGAATCAACGAGAAGTAAGACTACTGAACTCTGCTGTTATTGACTCACAGTTGCGGTCTATGTCGCATTTCGAACACACTGAGTGGCCGTTCTCGGCAGACATTGTGAAAGCACCAAAATGTCTGGGTACCACCTACGCAAGATCCACACCCTTATGGTACACCTCAAACTATGTGTCTAATGCGGCACTTTGGCTGTAAAAGAACCAGCACACTTCATGATCTATTGCTTGACCGTAATGGGATGCTAACATATAAAATTTTTTGAAGAGATTAATGATGGAGTGAGGTTGCTCTGGAGGTAAAGGTTACTCAAGATGGACATGTGACATGGGGGGGGGGGGGAGTGTAAATGGAGGTATTGCACCACCTATAATTTCATACAAGGTTCTCAATTCTGATAGGAGGGCTGGGGGTCGGCGCTTGCAGATGAGGTGTTAGTAGACCCAGGAAACGGGCACCCATTGTGGGGTCGACGTTGCCCGCTCTATGGCTTCCTCCACCCCTTTCACGCTCTCATCCACGTCGTTGTTCACCAGTATCAGGTCGAAGTAGTGCTTGTACATGCTGAGGATGGCGTCTGACTCCTTCTGGATCGTTTTCAGGGACTCGGACTGATGGGGATTGAGGGGGGGGGGAGGGAATGGTCAGCCGTACTATCATGCTGGGGGGGCTATATTAAAAATACATTAGAGCTCCAGCTCACCTGGTTTGCGGTGTTAGTGGGTGCGATGAACACCATGAGAGGGGCAAACTCTGCAGTACGGAGGAGTTTCAAGGTCTGAAAAAGAGTTTCGTACCATTTTATGGGCTCGTTTTCCTCAGTCTCACGCTTAATTCCTTTAACACTGAAACAGTTGCAATATATGTATCCTGGTTTGCAAACAGCTACCTGTGGCTCCACATCCAGCACGGCGATCTTGTCCTGCTCGTGGATCTTCTGGATGGTCTCCAACTTAGTGCCAAACATGTTGCCCTGGAAGCTGCCATACTCCAGAAGCTGGTTCCCCGTGATGCACTTGGTCATCTCGTCGTTGGAGATGAAGAAGTACTCCTTGCCGTTTTCCTCGTCTTTCTTCTGAGGCCTGGTGGTATCTGCATTTACAGGTATGACAAGAAAAGGCTCACAAGAAGGTTTGGCTCATATTCTCGTATGGCGTCATGATGGCACAGCCAAACTCTACTCACGTGGTGCCGGGTACATGAATTTCTCAGGATATTTGGTCAGCAATGAGTTTTTAATGTGGCTTCTTCCCACACCGGCTGCCCCTATAAAGATGAACAGGAAAGTTCAATGTCTTCTGATTGGACAACACAGTAATAGTACCACCTCCCTAGAGGAATGACCACTCTCTCCTGATTGGATCACGCAGTGTCAGTGCCGCCTTATTCGCTGAAGGTGCAGGTGTCACTGCTATGAATTCCTGAGCTTACCAATCAACACTAAGGTCTTCCTCTTGAAGGCAGGCAGCTGTACCACCTCTTCATAGGAAATCACATCCAGCTGGTCAAAAACTGGGAGACAGAGCAGGTAGACAGAGGGTCTGTATGCACATGTGATGAAGTATGTAGACAAAGGTACAAAAAGTCCATCAGCTTTTTTTTTTGGTGGAATTTAATCGAATCCCTACTTCGTTTAAAGACTCCGCGGCAAACCTCAACTGACCTTGTCGGAGCACTTAGGTGGCGACTGATGAATCCCATAGTAGTCGCCAACATTCATTCACCCCTCCCCCCCAGTCCTTTCACACAGCCTTTTATATAGCTGGACATGTCACAGAAGTTTCCGGGGGAAAGAAGAAGCCGCAACAGTGACATGAAGAGAAGGGAGATGCTTGCTCACCGGAGCTGTGTTTGGCCAGATACTTGTCTTTGCACTTCTTCTTCTTGCCAAAGGGACTGCAGGACTGGCTTCCCCCTGTGGCCACTTTGGTTTTACTGGCCACACGCCTTTGGGGGTATGGAGAGGAATAAAGGGAAAGAGGGGAGGATGGGGTTTTAGAGGGAAAGTGAAGGACGTGAAGTTACGTAATCCTGGGGGAATCCCTCACTGCTACCTGAGCGTTTATTGTAAGCAAAGAGCTCTGGTTTGGAACGTACCATTCCTGGAGCTCAGGGGAGGGGATGAGTCCGGCAAAGTCGGCCACCGAGCTATCCACTCGCCCTTGCCACCAGTTTGGGTCCTGCTTGTTGATGATTTGTATGATGTCGCCGGTTTTGAACTTCAGCCCCGCCTCTTTGCAAGGAATGAGATCATCCTTGGCTGGATCGTAGTCAAACTGAGCCCTGATGTACATCTATGGAAACGGCAGGTATCACTGCTGTGAGAAGCCAAGCTAGGAATCTTAAAGAGAATTCCGGAATGGTGAGTTTATCTTCTGCAGTATATTCACATGGAAGATAATTCCAAGTTTATTCAAAGGGTGACACTGAAGAACTTCACACTGAACAAAAGCAGATTTGTTTGGATTCTGCTTTTAAAAAAAATCAAATTAAATGAAAGTTGGGGACAAGATAAAAGAAAAATCTGCAGGCAAAAAGAAATTGTAGGATCTTGGTTAGTGGAAACAAACATTTTCTATCCTTTATTTCCAGCCATTGTTAATCCATGTGGATTTTGTCTTAAATACAGTTTACCAGAAAGCCAACGTCACGAATCTTTCCCCTGGATCCTGTTTAGCGCGCTATTTATCACATTACTGCTGCCAGAGCAATGATTTGGCTGGAAGAAAAGAAGTTTTAAAAGATAATTATTCCAAGATCAAGAGACCAGTGACGGAATATGAATAAGAGTTTGATAAACACTGCCATCACTTACCACACTGCCAACAGCAATTAGTTTCGTAGCGCTAATCGTTTTGATTAGCTGCTAATTTTTTAAAAATTTCTTTCACTAAATTTTAATATATGAACATCAGATCCATGATGAGCTTTATATATATATATATATATATATATATATATATACACACACATACACTGACAAATGCCTGTTCCGTCAACAATGCATTTAAAAGCGGTTTACAATTTGGCTTGTAGTTACACAGTTTGGCCAGCTGATGGCAGAATGAAACACGTCTCCTTGTGTTTCCATTCACACTAGAAAATCTAAAAAGAATTTTCTATGGAAGGTAGTAGTGGAATCTAATGATCAAATAGTCACCTGTGTCATTCATTTGGCTTAGAGGAGGACCAGCCTGACAAAGAACAAATTTTTGTTTAAACGGAGTGATTTTTGCTGGAGAGAAAGCGAGGCTGCTGACCACATAGGAATTTTTAAAAAAATCACACATCTCTCTGCTTAATTTTCAAGCATGTTTGACCTATTCCAAGTGCTTACTAAGCACACCCACAATATATTAAATAAAATAAACACTAGTTACATTGAAATGTGAGCAACTGGGTTCAGATTACAGGGATTTGTATAGGCCATGTTAGGCAGTATTATGGTGATACTTCAAAATCCATCCATTGATCCATCCATTCTCTGTACCCGCTTGCACTATGCAAGAGACTATTCCAGAACCTATGGGCACAAAACAGGGAATAACCCAGGATGGAATGCCAACCCATTGCATTTCACGTACATTTTCATGCCAGATTTTGCTCATTAGTCATGCACATTTCACTACGGTCGAAAC